CAGGTTACTGATTCGCTGCGCTGTGTTTACTGTACTAATCTATAAATAAACTAATTAAAATTGGTTGGCCTGCGATTATTACAAAACTGTCATTATCCTTGTACTTTAATAAAAAAATAAGTTTTATGTGACATCTATCAAAAATCCTGTGATAATTAATAGGATCTGGCGTTACTTTGCGGTAATCCATTATATTAAAGTTGTTAAAAATTACCTTACGTACATCCGCTCGATGAAATAAAATGATGTGTCTTACCCAATATGAAGAACACCTCCTGCCCTCCCTCAATTTCGTACACTATCCCCGTCACCACTAATCCCAGCACCACTACTCCCAATACCACTAAACTAGGAAAGATACACCACTGACGATCATACGACAAGTGTTACGCCTCTCTGCGGTGGCTGACCGCTAATGAGCGGCTAGCTTTTTTTTGCGCCCAATAAAAGAAACCCACCGGAAGCGGGGAGGAAGGTGGTGAATGCTCATAGCATACCACGTCAGTCAGCTGTGTGGTTATGTGGGACTCACTTTGAAGAAGTGCCTACCCACTAAACACTACTTTTGGGACTGGAATTGGCTTGTATGGCCATTCTGCCGAATCGGAAGCGACCGCCTTTAGGAAAAAGGGAGTGCAGGGGAAAAAGGGGCGCAGACAAACAAAAAAACAGTTGCTAGTTTTGCAACTCGCCAACACAACCGCTCGCCACTTTAAGTAGCTTGCAACTGTGTCATGCGATAGAACATGCGACCAATTACCACCTGACGTACGTAGCCGCTTGCTATTAAATTAACCTGCGAAACACCCGTCAACCTTGCAACCACGCAACCAATCGCTGATCACCGTGAGGGTGACGAATAACCATATTACGAGGCGGTCCGTTACTAGAGAACAGGTTTAAAGATGTTTAAATGAGGGAAGTTAGAAGCATTTGTTTGTTCATTCGGCAGTGCAACTTTATATGTTATTATTTTTTGCTATCTCCAACTGTTCCAGAACACACAGTCGCAGCCCTTTATTACAAGTACGTAAGACTTTAAATGAGTGGTCGCTGGTAAGGTTGTGTCCAGTGTACAAAAGATGTTTAGCAAAATGAGATTTATCGAGATCACATTTCCTGTACGCGGCTAAATGTTTTTTTTATAACGTGTATCGAAGTTGCGACCAGTGTCACCCATGTGAATGGCGTGGTATTCATCACAAACAAGTTTGTAAACACACGACTTTTCACAAATATTTTTATTATTACAGATATTTCTAAGAGAATTGTTTATTTTGAACGCCACCTAAACGCCGCTCTGTCGAAGAGTATTAGCTATTTTTTCTGATATGGAGCCTAAGTGGGTCAAACTGCTCACATATCGATGAACACTTTGAGGTTGAACCGCGTACAGAGAATTACGAACGGCATTATTTTCTTTCTTTTTAATTAAATTGTTAATGAGATTTTTTGAAAAACCGTTAGAGACTGCAATTTGATAAACTACATTAAGCTTTTTTAAATAATTTTCTTTATTTAATGGGACAGTGAACAAACGATTAATATGACAATAAAAAGCGACTAATTTATGTTGCCACGGATGACACTATGATGCGGGGATGACCGTGTCGGTATCATTTGGCTTTCGATAAATTTGGAAAACATGCAACGACTCTTTTCTTGCTATTGTTTAGTCGCGGAAATTAAGGAAACACTCTTGTTCCAATTCAGGCATAAATTTAATTTTATCGTGGACTCTATTTATTTTATTAAGGAAAACATCCAGTTGTCTTCTTGTGCCAGTCCAGCAAATAATTATGTCGTCTACATATATATAATAGCATAAGATATTTTGAATGATAACATATGTGATTTTGAAAATTAAATGTCCATGAAAATGTCATAAGGGGACTTAGAGGGGACCCCATAGTTAACCCTTCTTTTTGTAGATAGAAACGGTTATTAAACCGGAAATAGTTTTGTTTCATACATCCTCTCTTTGTAAGAAGTTAAGTTAAGAAGATCATTTGTTTATCCGGGATGTAGATGACGTTTATTAAAGAGATCTACGAGTATACGCAAACAGTCAGGGGATGGGACATTTGGGAAAAGTCTATCAACGTCTAAATATAACAACATGGATTTAGGAGGAATACGAATATCTTTAATTTTGAAAACGAGATCTAAACTACTTTAAGGCTGTAAGTTAGGTTTGAAACCAGATTTCTCCCAAAGGAGGAAGTTTAATTTTTTAGCAAGGAAATAAGTTGGTACTCCTCTATATGAGACAACTGGACGAATAGGAACATGTTCTTTATGTATTTTTGATAACCCATATAAAATGGGTGCTTGAGGATTAATTGGAATAATACTGCTCCAAGACAAGTTGTGATCGGGAAAAACATATGATGACTGTTATATACATAGTTTAATATCCGAAGTAAATTTTTTGGTTGGGTCAGATTCCAATAGCTCAAAGTCAAGTATCGTATTGTCGTCAGTAGTATGTCTTTGCTAGTTTAGTGATGTTGAGAGTAGTGGTACTGGGATTAGTGGTGCCGGGGATAGTGCACGCATTTGAGGGAGGGCAGGAGGTGCTCTCCATACTAGGTAAGACACATAATTTTATTTCATCGAGCGGATGTACGCAAGGTATTTTTATCAACTGTAAAAATCCTGTGATTTGCGTTAAATGCGTTATGAGAATCAGTATTCAAACGTATAGAAATGACTTTAATTCAAAAAACTCGACCATAAAAAAAAATTAATGAAATTAAAATATTCTACGTGGTAGAGCCATGCTGCAGCTATATTATGGTTGTAGCATGAATGGGTCGGCTCGACCGGGGAAGGACCACGCTCTCACAGAAAACCAGCGTAAAACAGCAGCTTAATGCTGCTGTGTTTCGTATGGTGAGTGTAGAGAACCGGAGACCCTTTTTACTGGCAAAGAGGCATTCCATCTAAGTCCTCACGGGTGACAACGCATCTGCATCTTGAGTCTTTATTGAGGATAGATGTAGATGTCTATGGGTCACAGTAACCCCTTACCATCAGGTGGACTGTGTGCTCGGTTGTCACCCAATCCTATAAAAAAAATTATAAAAAAAAGTGTGTGTGTACTTATATACGCACGTAGGAAGTAATACTTTTTTAGCGTAACAAAAAAACCTGAGAGACAATTACCCACTGAATTTGTCGCTTTGAGGTGTCAGTGTTCGCGCGCATCGCAACAACTTCATGGTGTCGTTTTCAGGTGTCGGTGTGAGCGTGCATCGTAAAAATTCACTCTCATCATTATTCCAAACGCCTCAAAAGATGTATAACTTCAATAATTGGCCGAGTAGTAAGAGTATTGATAAAGACAACGCTATACCCATGCGCGTGTTTGAAAACTGATTTTGATAACGCACTAAACAAGAACCATAGAGAAACACACAACTTATACAACATGTAGTTATTCATATCATAAAGTAGTTGATCATTTCGTGAAATTATGGTATTTCATAAAATTTAACACTGTTTATCGACAATATCACGTTATGGCTTGACGAAATAAATGCTTAGAGATCGTTTGACGATATTAACAACTAAACACAGCATTCTTATTTCATTATTGATCTTATCGTATAATAGTTTCATTATTTACCGCTAGCGGCGCCGATAGTACATTTTTAAACAGAAACTATTTTCAACATAATCTACATACGCTTGTGCCTAATTTATATATTATATAAAATTTCGCGGCTTTGTTGTGCACAAAAAAATAAGTTAAGTTACAATATTTCATGCGAAAAAAAATATTTATTTTATGCGAACACAGGTGCACTCTCTATACCCTTAATCTCACAGACCGATAGGATGGTAATTCGACACGACCGGAGAGAGATCAGGCGCCAGGTCCAATGGCTTTACGTGCTTTCCGAGGCACGGGGGTGAGACACCGCCAACTTCCTGACTCCGTGCTGCTATTGAGAATTTCTTGATAGAAAAACCCAATAAATAACTGATTTCGGCACGACTGGGAATTCGAACCCGGGACCTCATGATCAGAAATAGCGTTTACTACCACTAGATCTACGAGCTCAATATATTTTAATATATTACGTACAGTTTAATATATTTGATATTCAATTTATTGTAAAAGACGCGTTGGGTTTCTAACCGATTTTCCAAGGACATAATTTTTACACCAACCAGTGATAACAATTCTTATTGAAAATAAAGAAATGATTGAAGTATAAGAATTGTTAAATAATCTATATTGAATAAAAATATTCTATTATAGTAAAAGTTAAAGTAAAAGTTAATAGCACTCGTACCTTGCTCTTGCATTTGATGTTGACTCCGTATCACAGCAAAGGCGTCGGAACCGTTATAATCCTCTGTTAAAACCATTTCAAAGTCCGCGTTTGCTACGGAATATGACAAACACGTTTGATTTACTTTCTTTATAAAATTATTTAACGCAGTTTACTTATTTACATATCAATTACATAATTTAAATAATATATACCTCGCGGAATATCAGAGTAAAATAGCTATTTATTGCTGTTATGTTTCGTATAGTGAGTGTAGAGTGCCGGGTATCCTTTTTTCTGGAAACGAGACTTTCTTATTCTTCAGGAGTGAAAAGATATCTGCACTTTGATTCTAACTTGAGGGTAGATGGAGATGTCTATGGGCCACACAATAAAACAAACTAAATATTTAGGGCAAAAGAGTTGATTAGAACCTCGACAAACATAAGGATTTAAAACAAAATAAACGTTCTTTACAGTTATTAAAATTCAGATTTTCTTTATACTTCCCCAACTATATGAGCATACTATATTAAATAAGCAAATCTATATAATAGACAAATATATGTAATAGTTAGATCTTAGATCAGATTATCAGATCTCATGCTCAGTCAACGGTTAAACACAATAACAAAAATACTTAGTTTTTGTTTTACCAAATTTCAAAGGATTCTTTAATAGAAAATAAAATTTTAAAACGTAATAATGTAACAAATACTAACAATAATTCATGGAAGTGGTTGTCTCTGAACTCGATGGCGCCATAATTTGAACCGTTGAACTGTCGAACACGGTCGTAGTAGCCAACGCTAGAAATGTTTAAAACTTTCATAAATCTTGCATTAGCAGGCGTTATAGTAATCAAAGAATATAATAATATATAAGGGAAATGGTTATTACGAAACTCTTTATATTTGTTGCAATTTTATTCGGAAATATTAAAATTGTCGGTTATTTCGCGAGATGCAATATTCCTAATGCCATTTATATTTTTCTAAATAAGTAGAAATTATAGACAAAACCATTTTAAAGAAAATCAACTAGATTTTGTCAGATTTTAAATAAATAAGACACCGTTAGATAAATTAAAAGTAGTATATATATATTACTTTTACTTAAAAGTAGTATATATACTACTTTAACTTTACCTACTTTACCTTTTACTTTTCAAATATTTATTTGAAAATACGCTAAGGCTTCTATTTTTATTTGAAATTATCCCAAATTGAATGTGATTTATGGGCAACAACAATTTTGGCCTACCGATCGACTATTACAATTGTGCCCGTGCGCAGTAAAATCAGTTAGAAGAATGCATTATACCACACATTTTGAATTTAAAAGATATTTTGAGGGCAGAATGATTGAGATTTTTTTTTATTAATTTTTCTTCACCACTTGCCCATATTACTTATTCTGAACCTTCTCTGCAAAGGACATTGCTCTGCGCCCATACATTGTTCGCCCTGGAACCAAGAGCATTGGAAAATTATGTATTTTATTGTTGATCATTAGTAAATTCCTATTTGATCTTATTTTTATGGCGGACTAGCTGCATAATAGATATATTTAAAAAAAAGTATCAGATTTTGAGGTTATAATCGAACCATGAATATTACGGTTTTTCATAGATCCGAGTGATTTTTAACAAACTGAAAAACGATGTCCTAAAACATTTAGCTATTTCTAGTACCTATCTACATAATTAGGTATGCAATTTTTGTTCTAAAGCCTAAGTGTATGTAAGTGCAACGTCTAAATGCATAGAATGTATGTAGTTAACAAACCTGCTTTCTGAGCATTGGTTTTGAAATGAGAGATAATGTTTGTGTGTATTAATGTAAAAATAAAAATATATGTATATAATGGCTGTTAGCATTTAGATGTTGTCATTAGCATATACGATACGGTAAGATACCTAGTACCTAAATGTATAAGGATTTAGGCTGTCGGTCACGCCGCTAGACATGCCGTCGAACAGCGAGCGTATCAACCACGGTTTCAACCAAGTTTCAACAGCACGCGCATGAACAGCGTGAATATTATAGACTACTATCTAGTACATTTGCAAGCGTGTGCGTCTGGACGGCGCTGTTCAAACGCGTGACTATGAAACTAGCCCTACCGACTTAGTATCTAATTGGTAGTATAAGTTGTTTTTACACGTACATTAACTTATTATGTTTGAATTAGAAATAAAACACAGATTAATTTTATGTTTATTGTTCATTTTCTAAATTGGAAATAAGAATATTGTCTAAAAACTGTGCAGGGATGTCGATATTATTTTGATGTCTCGTAAAGCTCAAGTAGTAAATAATGGTCATAACATGGGGGCAGCAACCGATGGTTCTGCGTACAACGATGCAATTACAGCAATATTGCACGATTGCTTCCCTGTTCATCTTTAAACAGCAGAGCCGCTATTTACACAAAATACACTTTCCATTGCCGATGCGTAAGTCCGTTTATGAATGCTAGGTTATCGTTTGAACGGTACACAGTTCCAAAAATCACAGCAAGGTAAGTCGTTCTTGAAAGCAATCAGAGTCTGTTAAAATAGCCAAATCGTAATGTTCAATATATAGTCCCGAAAGTCACCACAACACAGATACAATTATGTACAAAGACAATTACAATTGCAAACGACGCCAACCAATGTATCTTTGACAGAATTAGAGATGACGATAAAAAGTAGGCATGTCCATTTGAAATCGTTTAATCGATTGTTTATAGTAACAGAATCGATTTTCCAGATCGATATAGATCTAAAGAATCCTTGTCCGATATCGATACAGAAACCTCTCGAATCGGACTTATTCAAGAACTAGCTATATTTCAAACGATTCAAGAAATACTTTTGCATAGTTGGAACATCTGTTCCTTGTGACAGACAGAAAAACTGTTCTGTTCTGGGTTCGATCCCAGTTGGTTGATAATCTTCTTTGTCCGAGGACGATGATGATGATGATGTTGATGATGAAATGGGTTAACCGCCGCATTGCCTCTTTTCGAAGAGCGCTGCGTCAGTATCCAGTGGGGTGTGCCTCCTGGCCGTCTTCTTCGCCCGTTGCGGTTGGGGCACTGCTTCCCACGTACTCGCGTACTCAGACTCCTTCTGCGGCGACGCAGGCTCCCTCATGGGAATTTGGCTGAAGGTACCTATGACTCTTATGCGTTCAGGGTTCGAAAGATCCTTCGCCATTAGTGGCCTATCCAAAACGCCCAGACGATCCGGAGGTTTCCTAACGCGAGGGGGTGGGGAGCTCCCCCTTCCCCTTACCCGTCATAGTATTAGTTACAACTGTTTTATGTTTAACTATTCAGGTAATCTGATTATGTCCTGTCTAAGACCCTACCTAACGAGATGATGGGTGGCCACAACCCTTGGGGCACTGCCTACCCCTTTCGTTACCAAAGGGTTGGGGGAAGTGCTTTGGTGGCACTCTAGGAACGCGACTTGACACTGAAGGCACGGACTGCTCTTGAGTGCCAATAATCTACCTAAGGGCCGGTGACCTCGACGCCTCTCGGAGTATGCGACTCAACGATTGGCAGAGTATGTCGTACCGGCGGTTACTTGGGACCACTGCTAATCCACAAACAACGCACACTTAGGAGATCTTTACGAATTTCCAAAATACCAGCCTCCTATCCTAGTACGTTAGCTATACGCGAAAGAGAACCGTGCGCCGCGCGCCATTTCGGCATAATCTGACACTAGTTTTCATCATCACACTCACATTTAACTCCATATCTTTATTTCTTAAAAAACATATTGTTACACAATTTACCTGTAAACACACATACAGAAGTCCTATTACTATGATGTACATTACATCGCCATCACAAACACATATTAAGATATTCAACAAAATACACCAATTTTACAGGACACTTTTAAAGTTCTAAATCGTAAATATCTATCACACATGTTCAAAACAACAATCTTTATTAATAAACATGAATATCTTAACTAATACAATAGTTTAATTCACAAATTAAAACCTTTAAACAGCATTAATACACTTTAATTCGACTTTAGTTTTTTTGTATAATATGACGGCTTCGTGGCGCAGTAGCTTAGCAATGAGTTGTTGAGCTGGGGGTCACGGGTTCGAATCCCGCACGGAACAAGTATTTGTATGACCCTACAAATAATTGTTCCAGGTCTGGATGTTTGTCCTCGTGTAATTTATGTTTGTAAACTGCCTCCACGATACAGGAGAAAATCCTAGTGTGGTGATAACGTTTTTTAAAAAAATTAAAATTAATTAAAAATTAAATTATACAAATTTATTATTATTTCCTTATTTTAAGCACAAAAGTAGACCCTTTTAATATATCGCTTATCTTATTATTCTACACAATAATCCTGAATCACTTATTGCCTATTTTTACACACATTACTGAAATTTTCACAAAGGAGATGAACTTGATTCAATACAAGCTTGGGCCCGGCGTGAACAAACTGAAAATATGTTTTAGTTTGAAGATTTAAACATTTGCTACTTATATCAAAAATCATATTTTTGCAGATGAGCCTTGCAGGCTTGTTATTAATATCTCTGAAAATACTACCCCTCCCATGCCTGTACATTTTTGAAATTGCAAAGTTTGTAAAACAAAACATGTATTATTTCAGACAAGCGAAAGAGATTTACACACGAAATACCAGAAATGGCAATAGACCTGCTGTTGAAATTATACCCAAGAGTGCACGATTTAAAAAAAAACTGCTACTGGATGTGTATTCTCATATTTAATAAAATACCCCAAAATATAAAAGACTTACCCTTTAATAGATTTAAAGGCGCCTTTTACAGGTGGCTAAATGAACATTGTTTTTTTAATGTGAATGACTACCTAAATTTGACATCATGTGACACACCAGCAGTTATATACTTTTAATTAAATTTTAATCTTATTTAAATTTGTATGTATTGGTATTGCTAATTTGTAAACAATGACATGACGATAAATATTTTAATTGAATTTTATATTGTAATATAATAAATTTAATTATAAAAAATGTATTTGCATGCTATTATAGATGGCTGAAAAAGCTGAACTACACTTTAAAAAACCAGCTAAATGTACCCTTTTTTCAAAGCACATAAATCTTCATTTCATTTCAGGAACTGGGTTTTTTTTTTTAATTTTATGTTTTATGATTTGTAGGTTATGTATTAAAATCACTCGTTCTTGTGATAAGTTGTTTGAATAATAAATAATAAATTTAAAAAAATACAAAAGAATGCAGTTTTGTAGTTATTTTTAAATAAAGTAAAATAAAACTCAATTTTATTAATTGTTTAACTTTAATTTTCTGCAATTATCAATAAAATGTCATCTAAAACAAGCCGGAGGCACACTGATCGAGTCCCATACAAAATAAACAACCAATTTCTGCACGACCCTTATCATCACATTAAGAGGCTAGTGCTTTCTGTCTAAATTACAGCTATCTCCGTTCATTATAAAACATTATTTATTTACAAATGCTATTCTTATCTAGCCATAATGTAACTTATCTCTTATCACAAGAACAAAACATATTATTCGTATTAAATAGCCGATTACTATGTAACACATGGCTCTAAGTTAATCTATAAGCAAACTTTTGTGGAATTAACTCTCGACCGGAGAATCGAAACCCGAACTTCGAAATATTGGAATCTATTTACTTTTAACATATACTGACTTATAATTTTGAATGTTTTTACTTTTAATCGTAAATATTCTTATTTTTATGAAATGGAAAATTATTAAAATGATTTTTTTAAGCGTGTCGCCAATAAAGCTGTAA